TAATATGCACATGCATGTGTAGGATCACCATGATTTTGCATAATCAAGCATGTTTTTGTTGTGTTCCATGAGAATGATCACCATTTGTGTTATCTAAGTTGAGAATGTGGCTAATTCATCACATGCATGTACATTTATGAAGATGGGAGCTTTGAATGCATGAATGTGTGTTTGGAGTTGAGTTTAGTGCCAATTTGGGACATGCATGTGGTTAATTCATGAAATTGTGGCTCCATGATGTTGTGTTTGGTGTTTTATATCATGTAGTGCAAATATATGTGAAGTTGGAGCCATATTATGCAGGAAATGAGGTTGGAAAGGTCGAATTGGAGCTCAAGAACTCAATCTGGAAAACCCAGATTTTTTTGTCGCCTCGAGTGGGTGAAGTGCGCTCGAGCGGGAAATCTGCTCCCAGCACTTTTGCCAGACATGGTTCCCGCTCGAGCGAGGAAGTTGACGCTCGAGTGAGGAGCTATGTAGACAGGCCATCCGCTCGAGCGGCAAGTCACGCTCGAGCGTGATTTTTGATATAACCAGTATTTTTGCTGGCCTTAAGGGTCCGCTCGAGCGGGGAAGTCCACACTCGAGTGGGACCTTATTTTCTGAAATTTTGAAATTGCATTCTGTGTTCTGTTTTCCGTCCTCTTCACTTGTAAGCACTCTTAGGCATGCATTGAGCATTGTAAATGAGTTTAACGAGATAAGAATAAAGCCTAAAGAGGAATATGTGAATTAAAGACGGATTGACTGTTAGTGACCCTTTTGTGTTCATTAAATGTGTAGGGTCAAGCTCCAAGGCAAATTCACAAGCCGATCACTGTGAGTAATATCGATATTTGAAAGCTTAGCAATGTTCAACTGTTTATTCCCTTATAAAGCTTTATGAGTTGGCTAATTGGGATTGTGGACAAAGTCTGACATGAATGATAGAATGGACCGAAGGTCGTTTTCGATATGAATAAATGGACCTAAGGTCGTTTTGATATAAATGAGTGGGCTGAAGGCCGTTTTGACACGAAGTATGGGCCGAAGGCCGTTTTAACGTAAACGAATGGACCGAAGGTCGTTTGACAAAATGAATGGACGAAGGTCAATTTCGATAGAAATGAGTGGACCGAAGGTCGTTTGGAATGTATGAATGGACCTAAGGTCGTTTTGACATAAATGAGTGGGCCGAAGGCCGTTTTGACACGAATGTATGGGCCGAAGGCCGTTTTGACGTAAACGAAAGGACCAAAGGTCGTTTTGACAGAAATAAATGGACCGAAGGTCGTTTGATAGAAATGAGTGGACCGAAGGTCGTTGTTTCGGACATGTATGAATGGACCTAAGGTCGTTTTGACATGAATGAGGTGGGCCGAAGGCCGTTTTTGAGACGAATGTATGGCCGAAGGTCGTTTTGACGTAACGAATGGGCCGAAGGCCAATTTTGATAGAAATGAATGGGCCGAAGCCGTTTTAACATAAATGAATGGCCGAAGGCCGTTTTGACATGAATGGAATCTGAGGATGGGCCAAAGGCCAGAATGTTTGGAACTACAGTCACTTGATTTGAATTTCGTATAGTTATATATCTGTTAAATAGAAATATGAATTGGGCCTAAGGCCGTTTGGAACATGTTGTCTTACATTGTTATGTAACTTCTGTATTTGATTTGATATTATTCACTGGGCTTTCGCTTACGCTCATTCATGTGTTTGTAGGTGAGCCAAGAGAAGTCCAGACCTAGCCTCAGTGAAGTCTGTATGGAACAACTAAGGTTTTGAGAGAGTCAGCCCTTGTGTCTCACGCATGAGACCCGTTTTCGCCCTTTTGTTATGTATTTACATTTTGTCAGGTTAGCGAACTTTTGAATACGTCTGTATATGGTTTTCATGGGTTGACTTAGTTTGGATGATCCTGTCTGTATAGAATCTTATGTCATTACACTTTCTGTTGTGAGTTATTAACATATGTACATATGGAATGTTATGGTGTGCATATAAGCACGGCTCTATGGACAAAGTTTTAAATTTACTTCCGTTTAGACCCTTTTACTCTGCTGAGTCTTGTTTTATTTGGTTTGAGGCCGTAGGTAATCTCGTGATTACTAGCCGGTTATGCCCTTAACCCATAGGGGCGGGTTCGGGTCGTGACAGGTGTAGTGTAATGGGTGCAAGAATAATGGGGTTTGGAGCTTGAAGAAGAGAGCTGTGGAGGGAGAAGTGTATAAGCCTCAGCCAAAAATTTCTAACCCTTGCAAAAAGAGAGGAGACCCTCTCTTATAGAAGACAAAAGGCCAAGGCTTCTCTAAAAAGCTTCAACAAAGGATCAAAGCTTCGAAAAGAAGCTTAACCAAAAGGGTCAAGCTTCTCCTAGAAGCTAAGCAAAAGGACCAAAGCTTCCTTAAGAAGACAAGCAAAGGGGCTAAATCTCGGAGGATGGGTCAAATGCTTCCCAGCTGGCACAGTTGTGTTGCACTCAGGAAGGGCAAAAAGCAAATGGCTGGCCGACCAGTTCAAGTGGTCGGCCGACCACTTGCCCTGGTCGGCCGAGCAGGGTCAAAAAGGTCAAAAAGAAAAGCTGATCGGCCTACCCATATTGCTGGCCTCCCAGATAAATGCAACACAATGGTGGTATGGGAAACCAAAAATTATGGCTCAAAAGTGAGAGAGACCAAGAGATCAAAAGGGTCAAGCACCAAAGGTGGTCGGCCATACCAAATAGGTGGCCTCCCAGATGAATGCAACACAATGGTGGTATGGGAGACCAAAAATTATTGCCCCCAAAAGTGAGGGAGACCAGTTTCCCGACAAGAAAACTGGCTAGAGGAGAGAGAAAAGTAGTCTCCAAGGAGAAAGCTGGTTTCCAAGGGAAAAAGGTGGTATCCCACCCTTGTACCACCTTCCTAACAATGAAAATAGGGTCCATGCCAAAAATGAACCCACACCGATGCAAAACGAGGGTTCGGGGGTCAAAACGCGTAGTCGGGTACCCCGAAAACTGACTATCAAGCACCAGAAGTGGCGTGCGACCACAAAGGTGGTCTCCCAGTCCACAGTGTCCCTCTAGGGAGAGGAAACAAGGTGTGTTCCAAAAATCGGAGCAAACGGAGGTAGTTATGCGGTCCCGAATGGAGGCGCGCGACCGACGGCTCCGAAAATCGGAAATTGGTCTCCAAATGGGAAAAATGGCCTACGACCACAAAACGCAGCCTACGGCCACTGAGAGATGGTCTACGAGACCTCTCACTCCCTTTGGGAAGAGAAAACGGAGAAAACAGGACCTGGTTCGCAAACCGAGGCAAAGCACAAAAGAGCCCCGAAGTCTGGAGGCAAGGCTCTTAGTCGAGACTCCAAAACCTCAGAACGAGCACAATACACGTCATCACCGAGCGCTCAATCAATGACGTCTGAGTCTTAAGGTCGGTCAAAAATGGGGTGTCTACAACACAAATTAGAATTATGGACAACATAAAGCATTAATTGATCCAAAAATACACTCACACTAACTAACTAGAGTAGTAGAACACTTGCTAACCTAAACCCAGGTGTGTACTAATTTCTAAGCAAGCATGTTTATCTGGCAATTATGCTGAGAGCTTTGTAGATTTCCCGGCAGAGAGAAATATGTGTATGTTGAAAAAAAATTCTTTAAGCAACCTCTGGCAGCACATGGTCAAGGTGTTTTAGGGCATGTAGGAGTGACAAAAAGTGATAAATAACTCATGTGCATTTCAAACAGGTAACTAGTAGGAAATTTTATAATACTAGGCTTTGGATATCAAGTAAACAATAAGTACAAAAAAAGTCCCAGTTGAGATTCAAGAAATACCACTAGAGAGTCGAGGAAGCCCAAAACTACTTTAGGTTCAACAGTCAATATACGTTCTGCTTCCTCTACTGTCGATAGGTTATATATACCAGGTCCCGTCTTCTTTTTCACCCAACTCACAATAGCATCCCTACAAAAGATGAGTAATAAGACAATAAGACAACGGTAATGTTCCATATTGTTCCAACCACCTACAAGAGAAACAAAAGTCAGAGATGCTAAACTGACCATCATACAGAATTTCCACCCAAAAAAAATGAAAAAACACAATACTGTTTTAAAAACTGGTAAATCTTGTCTCATACTAAGTGCAATCTCAAAAAATAATATGGTTGCAAATAAAATAAAATAAAAAATTGGATAAGTTGTCACTTTTGAAGTGAAGTTCATTATAGTTATAAAGAACTAATATACATGGTTAATTGTGTCCAACATGAAGCTCACGTTTGCTTAGTGAAGAGTATCTTGCCTCAAAAAGTGTCCTGAATTCACGATCCCTTGATATCTAGCATTCCAATTGATATTGTTGTATCAAGAATTAAGTTTCATGTATAACCATTAAATAAGATAGTTTGCTAGATTCTGGCCCAAACTAACATAAAAAATGCCACAAGCCAAAGCCCCTAAAAATAAAAGAAAAGAAAAAAACAACAAGAAGGGAAGTCATGTTATAATTAATAGTGCAATATCATGTTATTGGCAATTGCCAGAGTATGTGAAAGCTTGACAAAGAACTAACATGAAGATGAAATCTCTTTCTGTGAGAAAAGGTCAAGAAAAGAACCAACTTCGATTGTTTTTCCATCAAGAGTTCTAACAGCATAAAAGCCACATCCAGCCTAAGAAAAAAATAATAAGCTTTTTCCCACCCCATCAAAAATAAGAGCTAAAGTACTTGAAGGATAAAGAAGTACCCGGTTAAAGGAGATAACACTTCCATAGTGTCATTCCCAAGATCCTTTCCACCCATAGAGAGAACGTTCATACATACGTACACAATCATCTCAGTCGACAGTAGAACATTAAAAGAGTTAACATACAAATAATCTAACAAATTTGAATTGTTAGGAGAAAATAACAGCAAAATCTTCAAACATTCTAGTTTCAAAGATGCATCCAATTTGAAAGTAACTTCAATGGAGAACTAGAGAGCAATTATACACCGGACTAGAAAAATAGATTATGAAATCAATGTGGTAGAAGTAGGGCAACTATCAACATGAAAACACAATGCAGTGTTCAATAACAAAGAAGAGAACACTCAAAGACTGCAAGTACTTTAAAATAATTCCATATATATAATTTACTCCCTAAATGAAGTAAAAAAATGAATAACCTATACCATGTAGGTGTTTTTATCCTCCATCACATTGAACTTTCTAAGAGCAGAACTGATGCATTTGTTATGACATTTCTCTGTGGTGGGCCAAAAATGATGAGTGGCCTGAAAAGAGATATTAAACCCCAAAAGAAAAAGTACATAAGATGACAAGAAATTATGAATCTCTCATTTGAAACTCTTGCCAATATGAATCTTAGCATACTTTAACTATCCAAGACATTGTTGGATCATCATTGTCAGCAGGTCAAAAATAAAGCAGATTTATTTATCAAAAACAAAAAAATAAATAAAGCAGTTTTAAGTGAATCTCAAAGTATTTCTACTCTTCTAAGAATAATTCAATTTCAGATAAATATTGTCTGCAGAACATTGGTCATGTCTTAACTTTTGTACTAGTTGAATCTAAAATAAAGAAGGGAAAGGATAACTGAGAGATTACAACCTTGGAATACCTGGTAGAGAGCTAACTCCTAAGATTGAACAGCCTCCTCAAATGTACAAAGGGAAGAGTCATCCCACACCATTATTGAACCATACCAAGCATGAAAAATTTAAGTCCATGTTGTTTAAATGCATATTATTCACTAGAAAAACAAGTTAGAACAGTTTGTGGGCGGGACATTGACACATATGTGCATCCTCAACCTAAATCAACCAATTTATATTCAAGTGTCAACCCAACCCAACCCAACCCAACCCAACAAATATTCCCTCAATCCTCATCCTTACTGACCCATGATCTAATTACTTCATACCCAACCAGTGAATATTTTGGCAAGGAACTTGTTATCTCACACACTGCCACCTAAGAACCTCCACAAAATCTTTGACAACATATTTCATTATGACAATTTAAAAAAATAAAAAATAAAATAAAAATAAAGAGAGAGAGAGAGAGAGAGAGAGAGAGAGAGAAGGAAGAAGAAAAAAGAAAGAAATGTTATGCATTAATGCATTAATATCTGAAACAAGTACTATCTTGTTAAGCAAATCCAGCAGTGGGTATACCCAGCCTTTCAATTGGCCACAATCCACATACAATCTCCATCTACATGTTATTGTCTAAATAAAAAAGGAAACTCCTTATGCATCACAACAAGCTTATACACATCTAAGGTCTAACTGAAGCTCCTTGGCTGCTTAAATATAGTTAACATGATTCTAAAGACATAATTTGAAGAAATTCACTTTTAAAATAGAATATGGCACATCACAACAAGTAAACCAGACAATCATTATCTTCAAATCAAAAAGAAAGTTGATATATGCACCTATGACCAAAACATAACACCAGCCAAAAATGCAAGGGTGTGTGCACTATTTCATTCTCTGCGTTGAGACCCATGTACACAAGGAAGTCTCTTGATCTTTGGAGTAAAGAAGAAAAATTAGATATAGAGAATAGTGTTGCAGCATAACCAATCCATAATCTAACAACAAACCACTCACCTTCCATTATTTGTTGCAGCATTATTTCATTCTCTACGTTGACAATCAGTAATAAAATAGTACCACAAACACCATAAGATACACACCATGGGAAGGTTGAACCAATAAATTAATGTTTCACCTACATTTTTTCCTTCACCATAACAAAAGTTATTCATCAATGGACTTGAAACTGCAAGATTTTAAATGCTCAATTAAATGATGCTACTGTCACAAATGGAGAAATTATGCTGAAGTCAGGCACAACTAAAAGTACAATAGGCATCCATGAAGTAACTAGTTAGTCTCTATCAATTCATCCTAATTGAGTGCACTAATTCTACACAGCAGACAAACCCAAATGATCTTACTTTTCTTGTAGTGACTCCTTATAACTTGACGTTGTTGCAGCTATTGATCACAATGTGGAACATCTGACTATTCAACGATGTTAACCCGCTGACCACGACGTTGTTTGAATTGCTGAATTCTAGGGTCTGCAGTTTAATGTTTCAATTAATTACTTCAATCAATCATCTAAGAATAAAAAAAGCAACTAAATTAGGAAACATATTGTTATCCGTCCTAACAAAATATAACAATTGATATTGGAGAAGCACTAAAATCAAACTTGTCTTATTTAATTCTAAAATAAGACTAAAATATCAAATATTACCATGAACATTCATTTTTATTTCTTATCTCTTATATATATGTCTATATATCTATATAAACCCTATCACTTATAAATCATTATCCATAATATACCATATCATCTTTCATTTTTATTAGTATTGTCATTTTTAAAGTTGTAAAATTAACCTGCCCACTGCTCCTCCTCCTTTGCCACCTCCCTGATTTGCCCTGCCCCCAATATGATTTGAGGCGGGGGTGTGGCACTACAAACCAGTCCCCGTTGCCATCCCTAGCTATGATTTATAAACATATGATGAAATGCAATATATACTCTACCTTGGTAATAATAGGATCAAGATTGCCAAGTATATGCAGGATGGATATAATTGAGATGAAGCCTTCGCTAGCCTTGTGGATATAACTGAGATGTAACAAAGAGTTAAAACATTGTTGGATGGGAGGACAAGAGGAGCAATATTCTCTTTTACAACATTTTACATCAATCATTCAAGGACAACATTCTCTCTAATAGAACAACATTCCTTAATTTAAAAATTTGGAAACTCATTTCTTATACTTTCTCCCTACTAAAAAATGAAATTAAAAATTGCTAAAAAATTAATCAAACAACATATATATATAGAGAGAGAGAGAAGGGGGGGGGGGGAGGGGGGGACATATACCCTCTAGCTGTATGGCTGTAGGAATGGCAAAGGTGTGGAGAAAGAAGAATGCAGTGGCTATAATAACCAAGAAGGTGAGTAGGGCAACCATTGAAGGTGCAATTCTGTTTAGAATTCAATTGCATATCTAATATTACTATAAAGGCTAGGGATACTCTTTGAGATCGTGTTTGGATTATAAATTTAAATTTTTTTTAAAAAAAAAAGAAGGCAATGATAATATGAATAGAACATAAATTAATTGTTTTTCTTCATTTCGCTTTACCTTTCTAAATGTCGTTAATTAAACGAAGAAGAATCAAAGAAGAATCACTGAATTGAAGAAGAATCGAAGAAGAATCACTGAACTAAAGAATAATCGAGAGAGATTTGAGTGAGAGAAAGAGAGAGCAACTAATCTCTGATTGAAGAAGACGAAGTGTTCCAAATCCATAGAGATAAATCACGGAGCTATGCTAAAAATCAAACTTCGAAATCGCAATCCGAGATGAATCACCGAACTGAAGAATAATCGAAAAAGAATCACTGAACTAAAGAAGAATCGAGAGAGAATTGAGTGAGAGACAGAGAGAGCAACTAACCTCTGATTGAAGAAGACAAAGAGTTCCTAATCCACGGAGATGAATCACAGATCTATGCTCAAAATCAAACTTCGAAATCGCAATCCCGAGATGAATCACCGAACTGAAGAAGAATCGAAGAAGAATCACTGAACCGAAGAATAATTGAGAGAGATTTGAATGAGAGAGAGAGAGAGAGAGAGAGAGCAAGGAGTGAGTGAGAGATTTGAGTGAGTGAGAAGGAGACGGTGATGCTCAAAATAGGGTTTTCAAAATATAAGTTTAAAGAGATAGAAGAGGGTGTGAAGAGAAATAGGGTTTGGAGGCGCTTTTTAAACGTCTTTTATTTACAAAACGGTACCGTTTTACCTAACAACAAAGGCGACGTTTAAAAAACGCCATTAATTATATAAAAAAAAAAGTGACGTTTAATAAAACGTCGTCAATTAAACACCGTTAAATCCTCATTTTCCTGTAGTGTGTGCAAATTCTGCTCGGTGGAGGAAGTGCACTGTAAACAAGTTGGTTTTGATTTTTTTTTTTTTTTCATTTGCTCTTGCAGGTCGACCAGCCGGACGATTGGTATTTTGATGACAGCTACAAATTCACCGTTGGAGTGGTTGATATCAGATAGATGACTTCGACGTTGTTGCAGCTATTGATCACAATGTGGAACATCTGACTATTCAGCGATGTTAACCCGCTAACCACAACGTTGTTTGAATTGCTGAATTCTAGGGTCTGCAGTTTAATGTTTCAATTAATTACTTCAATTTACTTTGTAGTTTGAAAAAAAATACAGCAAATTTTATAATTTCGATATAATTATATTGAGTTTCTTTGTGATTTTAATTTAGAGAAAATTGTTGAAAAATCTAATCTAAAAATGGTATAAGGCATTAAGTTCTATGGATATTTTTTTTTAGTAAGAAGTACATTATTTGTAAACTATTGTGGTGAGAAGTACATTTTATTATTTTGAAGGACATTTTATTTTCAATTTTATCCCTTAACCTTTCTGTTAAATTTTGTTTATATGTTTAATTTTTTGAACCTATATGTTTGAATTTATATCTATATGTTTAATTTTTTTTCCTATTTGTTTAATTTTTTCCCTTATATGTTCAATTTTTATGTGTACAAATTTTTTTATGTGTTAAAATAGCAATTCAATTTTTTATTTGTTGAAATCTTTTGTCTTATCTGTTGAAAATCAATTGAAAAAAATCTGATCTCTCACTATATGTGGAAAATATATTTTTAAACTATCAAGGCAAATCTCACTGAAAATTTCAAAATCCAATCAATGGATCAAAGCTCAGCCTTAGAGATTGCGGTCCTGTCCAAGGAAAACAACTGAATCTACCTTCAAAATCCTAGAAAGAGTTTTGAGGAGACAATCAGGACAATCTTGATCACTGTGAAAAGATAGAAAAAATTGACCAAACAAGAAAGATGACAAAATATATATATATATACATATATCCAAAAACACAAGTTTATCTAGGTATGTTTATTTTCTCTCTGTGCTTTGGGAAAAATGGTTCTTCGGCTGTAATTGTGATGAAATATATATATTTCGTTTGTGATGTGTATATATTTGATTTCGCTGACTGTGCTTCGTTTGAGATGCGCGTTTGGTTTTTGCTTTTTTAATTTTTTTAGTTATTTTTGGGGCAAATTTTTTTTATTTGGAATGATTTTTTGATTTTTTTTTGAATTTTATGAGATAAAAAATAAAATAATTATGTTTAAATATGACATTTTGTTTTATTAATTTTTTAATCTATTTTATTTTTTTATGGTTAAAATAGTCAAAAAAGCCTATGCCCAACATAGCTTGTATATACCCCACATATATATATATATATATATATATTGGTCATTTTATATAGGGATGAGCAGCGGATATACCGATTCGTCAAAACCGACTGAACCGAACCGATCCGCCACATTTTGGACGGATGCGTTATGACGAGCGGACAGTTGCGGATTGATTTTCTCCAATCTGTCAATTTGGCGGACAGATGGCGGAGTTGAGATTCTTTTGGCCGTAACCGAACCGCCAAACCGCGAACACCCATAATAATTTATAAGACCTTATGTTTTCAATTTGTTTAAATATTTTGTTTGTGTTTTCAATTGAAAAAAAGTTTAAATATTCTGTTGAAAAAAAGTTTTCAACTTGAATATATTTTTTGAATTGAAAAA